TTGATTACATAGGTCATAGCCTATCACAGAAAATAATGTGTGTCTGTAGATCATGTCCGTTGTGCTTCCTCTGACTTGAACTGGTGTGTTTGAGCGTTACAATTCGCTGCCTCTAGTGAGATCGACTATCAAAACCTTTTTCGGGTTGATTGTCTAGTTCTTTGATCGTCTTCGTGACGCGTGTGCTCCAAAGGCAATATGGAGTACACTTACAAGGGTTTAAATAATCTGCATTGGACTGCAATTTAACAGATGACAGATAATGGCGAACAAATGATCAAAATTCTATATTTGAAAATATATAAAGTGTCAAAAAGTGCGATACAATACTCTCGTTTTAGCAAAAGATTTAACTGATCTATCAAATGGGAAAAAATCTGCTTTTCGAACATGGAACCTGAAAGGAAGACCTAGAGATCCCAATAATCGCGATTGGATACGACACAAGAACGCATCATGATGCCTGAGGCAAGAACTGCTCAAAACTGAAGAAGCTGTATGAGCTTGAGTGCAAAAAATGGACACTGCTGGAGAAATCAGTATGAAGAGGTTCTGGTACATTGTGAAACGACTCAGAGAAAGAGGTAAAGGAACTTCAGCTATCAGAAACTAAAAAGGGGAAATCAGACGATGAAGATTTCTGACAAGAGGGGAAGGAGTATTTTAGCAGACCAATGTCCCCCACAATAAATGATAGCAACGACAACTATCATGAATGTCACTTAATTAACATATTTGATGATATGGTAGAAGAAAGCATGACTAATGAAGATAATATTCATTTAGAGAACCCATAAGCCTTTAATGAAATGGAGAAGCTGATAAACACTCTGTCGAGGAATAAAGCTACGGGTTGGGATGAAATAAGTACAGACAAATTCAGTATGCAATCAGTATGACAATCATAAAGAAATAACACTTGTTTCAACATATTTGTAAATATTAGAGAAGCTCGTGGCTAAGTATGAATGTTAAATCATCAGAAGAAATGTCGTGTTTACAAGCTGCAAATGCGGGAAAACATCGTGCCTTCACACTTCTTTTTAATAAAAGAGGCCATAAGCCATGGGTTGGAGATTGGAGAAGACGTAGTTGTGGCGCCAGTCGACATCCGTAAAGCGTTTGACAGTGTGTGGCATGCAGGTCTATTGTACACGATCTTCAATGCTAGAATTAATGGGAAACTCTGGAGAATCTTACGTTCAAGTTATATGGATAATAAATGTGCAATATGATGTAGATTAGATGTTCCCGGAACCTTTTTTGTATTTACCCTGGTGTCCACCAAGGTGGTATCGGTCCTGTAAATTATTATAACTAATTGCATTGTTCTGCAGAGTCTCCCTGCAATGCGGGTATTTCTATTCCCTGGAACGGTGGTTACCAGTGCATTTGTCCGCCCAACAAACAAGGCAAGAACTGCAGTGAAGGTGTGTACTTAATGAAGTAGTGAACCTACGACATATTTCATTGACTGGTTTTTCTTATTTTCACACATCGTTGGGTTTCAAAATACTTTTGAAATGAAATAAAGAAGCCTACTTGCTATTGGGCTGCCAGTTAAAATTAAAAAGAATGTTTAATTTTTTGTCCAGCTTGGGGAGCAGTTTTGTATTTTAGTTTTGAGAAATTTTATTCTCTTAATTTCTGAAAAGGCTGTTTTAGAGTCTCCAAGTATTTTATGCAGTTTTGAATGTTCAACAAATTTTTAAACAAACATTTTAACAAATCTTTTAAATGTTTCTATAATAAATACAACTTATCTTCAGATGTTCCTGATGCTGGTAATTGTACCTGGCCTGGGAATGGTAAGTCGTACAAAACATAATGAACCATTATTCATCAATTGTACAAAATGTGTCTGAAATATCACCTGTATGATATCTACATTTGCTTGTGTTTCTTCCTATTTTAAATCAGCATATCAGACATAACGTATAGCACAATAACTCCAAATAGTGGAGAACAACACAGTATATGATATGATTAAGAATATGCTTTATGTCACCGCCAGGGAATGATTATTTCTGAACTTTTCCTCTGTTTAAACAGCGTTTGTAGCTACTCCATCGAATTGTGAGGAATTGTAAAGTGCGGCTTGCTCAGCGTAAGTTGCACTTATATTAATTCTGTTTCTAGAAAACGCATGTTCCTCAGCACCCTGTCATGGGGAGGACGCTGTGTGCATCAACACTTTTGGCGGAAATTATAAATGCTTATGCCCACCTGGGACAAACGGCAATCGTTGTGGTGAAGGTATGGAAATCCGAATTCTTGAAGTGAAATCATGTGTACACTGCATACAGGGCGATACAAAAATGCCAACAACATAATGTTGCATAAATTTTTGTCTACATGATATGCCATCAACCTTTTGTAACATATCATTTTCAATACTAATGCTTTTTGCTAAGCAAGTCCATTCAATTAAACAGAAGATGATATAGTTGTCATTAATAAAATCTTTAAAACAGTCCACTCGCATAGCTCGATCAGGGATAACGCGAGTATCAATTATGCAATTATGCACAGATTCGATCCCCGGTACAGGCAACACTTAATTTGTTTGCGTAAAGTACTTCAGGGTGTTTGACTGAGTGGTCCACAAATCTTACAAAAAGCCATGGTCTTTACTTCTAAGTCTGTGTATGAGTTCAAATAAATGAACACAGTGCTCTTTCAAGGAGGGGTTCTTGGGTCTGCCTTACAGTCTTTATGATAGTATCAGAATTTGAAAATATCAATTATCGTAAAGGATAGGTATCGATATGGAGAACTGAATTCAACAATGTTTTTCTCTTAAACCAATCATTGAAAACATTCTGTAAAAAACATGGTATTTTATGTAATGTTGACTGATTGACAACAATTTAATGCGAAGAGTATTTAGAAATATTTTATATAACTGTTTTTGTTAAAAAAATTGTTTTTTAGTGCAATTGTTTTTGCTCCTTTCTACCAATTCTTGAGAATGAAATAAAATGTCTTTCCGAACCTTGTTGGAACAAAATAGCATATACAACATGTTTTAGACCTCTCAATATTAAAGTTATACAAAGGAATTTTTGGTTGATTTTAAAAAAGTATTCAAAAAATTAAAACAAAATCCCCCCAAAATAGATAAAAATCAAGAAAAACTTTTATTTCATTAACAAGATACTTTTTTAAAATCAACCAAAATTCCTTTGTACAATTACAATATTGGGGACCTAAACATGTTGTGTTTATGTCGTTTTGTTCCAATGAGGTTCTGAAAGATGTTTCATTTCACTCTGGAAACATGATACCAAGAACAAAGCAAGTGTCTGATGTGTTTTTTAAAACAATATAGATGAAAGTATGTATATCTATTTCAAATTATTTTGTTACCATTCAAAAGATTGCCATTAAATTGACAATTTGTAAGATTTTCAGAACTTTTTGATGACTGGTTAAAGAAAAACGTGTGTTCAAAAAGGTCGCCATATCGATACCCATTCTTTGCCCAAACACGGGACATACCAAAGAGGTATTGATCACCTACATTAATTGTAAACAAAATGCAATGCAAAGTAAAAAAAACAGCAACAATAACTTGTTTGCAAAATCATGTTGCGAAAGGTTGGAGGCATTTTTGTGTAGAATCTACTGTGCCTGCAGGAGAATAGACGACACATCTTATAACTCTCATACAGGTGCATCTAGTTGAGCTAGTTACTCTGAAACTGAAATAATTTCAATGTTCTGAAGTTCAAGTCAACAATCCTGCAGACAAAAAAGTTATGCAGCATTATATGGGTGGCCTTTTTGTGTCATGCTACACTAGCTACATTCACATTCAAATTACAAGCGTTGGAGTTGAATAATGTTGAAGGATTTCAGATATTTTAATGTGTTGTGAAAAGTCTTATATCAATAAAAATCTATTCAATAAAAATCTATTAACAGGGCCTGATCACATATTCATTTTTTAAATAAACCGAGGGCTGACCAAAAACAGTATTGAAAGTGAACGATCAGTGACCAAAATGTTTTTGTTTATGCAAAAGGGGACTCCAAACTTTCCTATTGATTCTGTTATTTCACCACTAGGAACATACTGCTTTCCATGTGCAAGTAAAAGATGGAGGAACGTCACATGTCATGTGTTCTACGACAAGCCATTCTTGACATCGATGTCTGTGCAAGACGTAACACTCAAGACCCAGATATCAAGGTAGGGTCAGTTTATCTTGTTTCTTTATTTTCATATATTTAATTACAAAAGTGGAAATAACAGAAAATCCTAAAAAATTAATAACCTGATTTTCATGATTACACCACACCTCTACCCCATTAAAATATTCCTTCACTTCGTGTACAATCTGATATCGTTTCGTAGATGATGCATGTACGAGGATATAAAACTTAATTATGTGCACATATTCCAGACTTTCATTATAATAACAACCATACTCTTATCAGTTTGAGACGATATCTCAATAGCATCTCCATCACACAACATGTGAATCTCTGGAAATAAGATCATTTTTACTTTACTTTTTGGATAACCTGTATTGTATAATGAACAATAAATAGAGCTTGAATAATAGAGCAGGGACAATGCACCAGTTTAAGGTAGCTATAAGGGCAGAGGCGAGGTTTGTGTTAGCTGAATCTAAAACCTGTATGTATTTCAGGACAAAATGCACGATGAACGACAAATGGAGCTTCAATTTTAGAACAGGGTTCATGTGGGTAGCCAAAGGTTGCAGAGGCAAAATTTGTGTGCACTACCAAGAAGCTGTGCCAGACATAACAACTGTACAAGGTACAACAACTGGACCAAGTACAACAACTGGACCAGATATAACAACTGAACCAAGTACAACAACTGGACCAGATACAACAACTGGACCAGGTACAACAACTGTACGAGGAACAACAACTGGACCAGGTACAACAACTGGACCAGGTACAACAACTGAACCAAGTACAACAGCTGGACAAGGTACAACAACGCGACCAGGTACAACAACTGGACAAGGTACAACAAGTGGACAAGGTACAACATCTATATCAACTGGACCAAGTACAACAACTGGACCAGATATAACAACTGGACCAAGTACAACAACTGGGCCAGTTACAACAACTGGGCCAGTTACAACAACTGGACCAGATATAACAACTGGACCAAGTACAACAACTAGGCCAGTTACAACAACTGGGCCAGTTACAACAACTGGACCAGTTATAACAACTGGACCAAGTACAACAACTGGGCCAGTTACAACAACAGGGCCAGTTACAACAACTGGACCGGATATAACAACTGGACCAAGTACAACAACTGGGCCAGTTACAACAACTGGACCAAGTACAACAACTGGACCAAGTACAACAACTATTACAACAATTGCTGGCAGTGTCCCATGTGAAAGTCTCAAATTGTCTGGTTTGTCACGATCCTCGAATCAACTATATCGAACTGGGATCTTCAAGCTGCAATCGAATCTTTGGAACGAAAGACCAGTTTATGAACACCTATGGGATCCAGAGTTTTTGTTCTATGAAAATGGAGCCTGGCTTATAGGACCAACAATAGGACAAAATATATCAGGAATTCGTGTATTCAGTTCAGCTCTGCAACCACAAGACGTGATGGAGTTTTGGAATTCTTTTGATGGTAGCGCTTGGGTAGCATAGCCAAGTCTGATTGCGTCGTGTTCAGCTATATGTGACACGATTTGGTTGAGTGGAGTTTCTTTGGATGGATCACACGCCTACCTATTAGGAGCTTATAGTATTTCAAATAATGATTCAAATGGAGCACCGATCTACAAGAAACAAGATGGCGCAAACAGTAGTGAAATAACAATTAGAATGTCTGATGGCAACAAATGGAGCATTATATCAGAGTCTGAAACATTAACCACAGCGTTTACAACAGCCATCACAAACCCGGTTGAAATAAATAACATATGGACTGTGGCATCTGGTACAATAGTCCTAGAGTGCTACTTTGGTAAGTTTAAGGAAATTGTAAGAAACGATATAAAAAAGTGTAGGCATATTCTTACTAGATTGTTTCAACCATATATACAATGCGCAGCTAACAGTGATATGACTGTAATGCCATTGAGAATATATATTTCAATATGTTAAAAATAAAATTCTTATTGGATTTGAAAATAGGGAAGAAAACAATGGAAGTAACACAGAATCGTCATTGTTCAGTTTATTGATAAGACTGATTTCTTTCTTTTTTGTAGGCCAAGAAGGAATTTGTAGTGGGGTTCTGTTAGATGGTGGTTCTATTCCAAGGAGAAGACAGGGTATCTATTCACTTTATGGTCCTCTTCTCAATGGAAGGCCTGTTTATATTCGCGAGGGTGAATCTGCCTTCCTTTATTACGTAATCCAGAATCCGCAAAGCAGGTTCTGGCTCATCTCTAACGATATTAAATCCACTTCTGGAGGAGTTCGTGTTAATGACATAGCTTTGTCGGCTGATGGCATAACTCGCACATGGCAAGCATTTAACTTAGAAGCTGGCTGGGTTGATGACACTAAATTGGAAGCAGCATGTATTACAAGTATGTAGTTTCTGATCTACTTCTCCTGCGAAGATCTAATCAGTTTAGAGATATTCTATATCTGAAATCTGATTGGTCAGATCATGATCATTATTGCATCAACTATATCGCAATTTCCCCGGAAGAAACAATTATAAATTCCTGTGTTTGGAGGATTTCTCTTAATTTCCCGATCCCCTTCAGTATCAATCCAACTAAGTTCTAACCTAGGCATTTTAATCAAGCCAATTTACACATTGTTTCTCTTTCTAACCTTTTTGTCTTCCTTTATGACACACGGGCTTAAATACAGTAATTGTGTCATTACATTTCAGATAACACCGTCCCTAGCGTAACTTTATACATGGGGGGTGTGGTCACACCGTCAACTCTACAAATTCAAAGTTTAGGAGTTTACACGATACATGGAGACTATCGCAATTCGAGACCAGTATATATTCACGAAGCAGGCGAATATTATCTGTACTATCAAATAAATGGATTTTGGGCGATTAGCAGTACTATTGGTTCGACTGGTCGCAATATTATGATATTTGCATCATCCATTCTACCTCAGGATATAACTGGGCCAGCATATGCAGCGGGTGGTTCGATTGCTTGGACATTGATGGATAACATTACCATTTCTAGCTATACAAATACAGGTAAACAGATATATCACGCCTGGTGATCGTGAAAGTGGAAAGAAGGGAGCAATTTCCGCTAGAAAATTTAGTTTTGATAACGTCGCTTACCAGTATTTGTCACAGGTCGTATGCTTGAATTATAGCAAAAACGATTTGTGCCAGTTAGTGGCCTTGCGCCTTTTTAATAGATCTCATATCTTAGAAGCATATTGGTTAAAAAAATCGTAGAAGGCCTAACTCATTTTCCATGCCGTGTGCCTATTCATTCAGGAATTCAATTAAATCTTACAGATTTTTTTAACTTTCCAGCAGAAATTGCGTCCCCTCCCTACTCCGTCCCATTCTTACGCGCGATCACCAGGCTTGTTTATCAAACAATCAAACAGACAAGCATCTGTAAAAGTAGCATTAATGGTTAGATGAACACAGAAAAACAATCAAAAATATCAATTGAAACATAGTCAAGCGAATAGACAAACACCAGTTTTCTAAGTAAACAATAATTTGAAGTAAAAAATATATTATAGGTTATTTTATATTAGATTTTAAAAACACACATTCATCTCATATTGGTTTTAAAACTATTAATAGGACTTCAGAAGTAGGAAATGTTGTATAAAATATTCATTAAAATATCACGAGAAATGATCTGATATTGGGTTTATCCCATGATTACAATCATTATCCCAGACAATTCGCTATGCGCAGTAATTTGCACTACTTTCTCTATATCACAGTGTATCTGATATATAGTTCGTCATAAATACTGTTTAGGACACATATTTCATAAGAGGAAATAAGTGATATACTGGATATATCTAGGGGGTCCTGCCATACAATTGTCACAAAGGTCTTGAAAAAGCGGTATGTTGCAGCAAAGTGGGTTCCAAAGTTCCTCACAGTGGCGCAAAAGGAAGCGCATCTTGCAGCATCTAGGCAATTTAAGGATACGTTTTGGCATCATTTCCAAATGCTCCCTGAACCAGTTCATAGTACTAAGTCTCTTGCAAAGTTGCCATTCTGAACCATGCACTGTATCAGATTTCTATGCTTCCATTTCATCAATTTGGTTGGTGTGAAAACATCTGCCATTTTGAAAATTTTGGAAAAAAATTCAAACTTTCCTCACTTTTCCATCTCAATTTTTCAACTGGGTTTTGGACAGTATACATCACAAAGGAACTCATCATGTCACTTGTCTATTGTGATGTCATAGAGACAATTAGAAAAATTGAAAAAAAATTTGAAGAAAAATAGTCACCCAAAGACACTTACACCTGCTAATTGCCACTTTACAAAGAGTTTATTCAAGCAAGAAAACTATTTGGAAAAACGTAATTTCGGGTTGAACATGGTACCCACCACTCTGGTTACCATAGCAACCATATCTCAAGAACCAATCAAAATTGAGGTCCCAAATTTTAACATACAATGTATAAATGTATAAATACATATAAATAAATACATATAAATGTATAACACATATGTGTACCAAGTTTCATTGTAAAAGTCCTATTTTCCTTGAAGTTAAGGCATCAACTGCAAAACTTTTTGACCCACCTAAGTATTATTGTTATTTAGCAGCATCCTTATCAAACTACATACTCAATATTAATGTAATATATCAATGTAACTTCAACAGAATAAATTATCTGGCCTATTTTCCAACTGTATCGTGGCGCGAAATTCAAATTTGTCTATCAAAGGAATATGTGTGTAATAAACGATATCAACCATATATGAGTTTGGTAAAATTATTTTCTGGAAAATATCACACGGATTTCAATAATACTAGAAATATGGCTAACTGTTGATGTACAGGTATATGTAACACATTAACATTGGGAAAATAAGGAATACGTCAATCAGGATACCCATTAGTGAACAGTTTTGTGCAACATCTGATTTATCTCATTTCTATTATTTTCTTAGGTGACGAGTCTTGTCGTAAGCTCAATCTATCTGGCATGACGAATGATTCGTTTAATGGTCTTTATGAGAATAAGGACCAAAAGGTTGGGAACAGACCGAGCTACAAACACTTTAATGAGTCTTACAAGCTGTACTATAGAGAAGAGTATGGGCAATGGGTAATCGGGCATGACACCATTCAATCTACCTTTTACGCTTTTACATTTAACCCAGCTGTGGACCCAACCGATACTATTACTACTGTTTGGAGGAAATTGGATGGTAGTATGCGGACAAAACAGCCTGATTTAGTGTGGAGCTGTCAGGATGGTAAAACTTAAGATCATATTTATATCCTAACGCTGTAACATTCATTTCAAAAATGCCTTCTTAAATGTTTCAATAATAATGCTGGGGCAATGGACGATATATTTTCGACTGTTGCATTTGTATGCATTTGAGTAACAACTACATGTACTACATCTATTGGTCCAAGTAAAACCATTTCGTCAGTAATAGAATAAAGGAATTGACAACATTTTAATAGCTTCCTCCTGTTGAAGCTCCATTGTTTTAAATATATTGTATGGGTAGATTTAATATCACTGAACATATTTTTGCTTGTGGAGCATCACACAACAATACCGTTTATCATTTATGTGGATTTACGCACGGGTCATTTTTCAAAAGATTTTTTATACTTAAAAATTTCTTTTTGATAGATAATAAATAAGTAAATATATTATAAATGCTTTGACATCAAGAACATTTTGTATGCTTTCAACTGAAAAATAAGACCAAAATGAACTCCTAACTCACAGTGGGAGGTATACCTCATTAAACACTGTTTAATTTTTTTTAATTTATTGTTTAAGTCTAACGATTTATATTAGTCTCTATTAGTTTTAATTACATCGTTTACTATTTCTAAATTTGTTGAGCATCATACATCGTCTTAACAGTTTTTTTTCATTAATTTGAGAATTCAGCAGGGGTCTAATTTACAAAATCATCAATTATAAAAAACATTACAAAAATATAAAAACAAGATAAATTAGAAAAATAACTAGACTTTGGAAATTGAACAAGTTCAATTTCAGACTCCAGATCTAGACTTTTTTCAAGCCCAGTCATCCAGAATAAGCCGAGTAATCCAGAATAAGATGAGTCATCCAGAATAAGCCGAGTGGATTGAATAGGAAGGAAGAATAGGATAGAATAGGAAGGAAAATAGGATAGAATAGGAAAGAAGGATACGATATGATAGAATAAGAAGGAAGGGTAGGATAGGTTATGAAGGATAGGAGGGAAATGATGAGAAGGAAGGATAGATAGAAGGGATAAGAAAGAATAGGAAGGTAGGATAGGA